TCTCCGCCATGGCATCACTTTGGTAGGATAGTTTTTGTCTCTAGGTCATCCAACTGATTTAGCCATGCATCATTGATCGTAGGAGTATGACTAGATGTTTGCAAACGGAACATGGTGACGACCAAAATAAACACTGAATGGTGCTGACATGTGAAATTGTGATGCAATTATAATAGCCGGGCCTCCACATTAGATTCTATGTTATAAACGTACTCTTAAGCAGTACGTAAACTAAAAATTTACTCTTAATAGTACTAGGAACTTAAGTTTCCTGAATAGTTTTAACGGTTTTATTAATTGATTCCTTTTTCATTTTACATATCAGATATTCGAACAATGCCATGAAAAGGCCACAGTAAAATACCAAAGTTAGCAAAGGTATTAATTACTTAGACAACTTAAACGTAAAGATAGATAACTACCACAAAAAAATTCTTGTCCAAGCGAGTCCTTAAGAAACCAGCTAGCAGTCATAAGTTAAGATTATGACCAAGAAAGACAGTACATCAGATAAGGGTGATGACACTCCATTACAAGAAATAAAAAGCCCGCGGGCCAACTATTGCGTCCGCTATGGAGCTTACGTTTACCAAGCCAAGAAGCAACGCAAAAGTATCGGCTAAGACGATCCCTACTAATCCTGATGAGAACACTCAGAAGTATTTAACTCCAAATACGGAGAAAGGAGACAACCCGCTTAAGGGAGAGGATGAGAAGGAAAGCTCACAAAATATGAATTTACTAGATTTACGCGCCCTGTTAAGAAGGTGCTTCCGGAACACAAGGGACCTGCATATAAGCAAGCTAAGAAATGTGCTGATGAGAAATGTGGTTATAACATGTACCAGTTAACATCTAACAGTTAATGGGACGGAAATCATACCCAATCTTGTAAACACTATATTACAAAATACAATAAATGTGAGAAGACCAATGTCTATCACACTAAATCGTGTAACGTCAGACCCGGCATTGAGCTGGACTGAAGGTACTACCGGGTACAATCGTTACACAGACAGTACAACGACTATTTAGATGAGCATGTAATAATCACTGTATATTGCAATGGAAATAAAATTCTTGCGTTGATTGATCCTGGTTCCAAAATTTCATGTATATCCGATCGCTTTGCATTAATGAAAGATATCGAAAGGAGAACACAAACAACCACTCTAGGTATAACCGTAACTGGTTAACCAAATTCAATCAGACGATAACTGTCTGAAACCATATAGACCCACGTCAGACACAGTCAAGGCATTAATACCTGACTTTGCGAACAAAATCATAGATCTGATTTTATTTAATAAGAAAACAAAGATCACAGCTTGGGCAAAATTCCGTTTTAACGACGGATATGTCAGCTTTGACTTAACCAAGGTGGACTTTACACAGTTGAAGTGTCCCTCAAGGAACTATGTATCCTAGAGACACGAGGCTGTGGTAAAAGAACAAGTTGAGAAATGGCTAGCAGATGGAGTGATAGAAATTAACTATCAACAGACGTCAGTTAACTTGGCATTGCTAGCTGTAGACCAACATAACTCGGATGGATCGTTTAAGAAAGTCAGAGTATGTTTAGATATGAGACCGATAAATAAATTTTTGCCGACTCATAGCTTTCACCTACCTCGTATTACCGAGTTACTGCGAATGATAGAAAATGCTGCAGTATTTACAACTATAGACCTTATACAAGGATATCATCAAATACAGATATTTGATCCACATCGTAAATACTTTAGTTTTACGTGAAAAGGTAAACAATACAGGTTTAGAGGTGCACCTTTCGGGTTACACTCTTTACCAGCATTCTTCCAACAAGTAATGGAGGAAATGTTTGCAGACATGCCTAACGTGCAAGTCTATATAGATGACATAGTCATCTTCTCTAAAACTAAGGGCGAACACGCCGCATTAGTCAAACGTGTCTTTGAGATACTCAATGAGCAAAACTTCAAGATTAACGAGAAGAAATGCCACTTCGCAATTAGCGAAATACAGCTCTTAGGCTACTATATATCTGGGGAAGGTATTAAAATCGACCTCGGTAAGGTAGCACACCTGTTAAATTGGCGAACACCAACTACAGGAAAAGATGTGAACAGCATGTGTGGGTTTGTAAACTTCTTTTCAAATGGAGTATCACACTTGGCTGATTACCTTAAACCTTTTGGACACTTAAGATGTCATAAAGGCAAACTAGGAGACTTGTGGACTAACGAGTGTGATGACGCATTTAAAGCGCTCAAGCACGCAGTCCAACAAGCCCCTGTTGTACAAGGACCAGCCGATGGCGTGCCGTTTGAAATAGCAACGGACGCCTGGTAGTAGTATTGATGCCGGGCCATTGCCGCGATCTCCATGTTGGACCAACGTTTTGTTGAGTTCTTCCTGATTTCGTCACAGCGTTGGCGGAGGGCTACATGGTCGGGTGTACGCCCGCCCGTGGTTTTGTGTACAGTTTTCAGGTGAGCATAGATACTGTACGGGAAGCGCAGGGATTGTTTATCGTGGGCCCAGGTGGGTTGCGTCAGAGGGGTGAGTGGATTTGTGCTGGCCATTGAGTCGAGTTGTATTCCCAGGCAACCTCCGAGGTAGTCTGCGAATGGTCGCGCGGGGAGCAGGCCGCAAAAGTGAAGTAAGATTGTTTGATGTTTGGGAAACCGAGGGTATTCAGTGCCCGTGATGATGGCTGCTGCTTGGATGAGTACTGAGTTAAATTGCTCGAATAGGGGGTCCAACGCATCCTTGCATATAGGCGGAGCCCAGGCAATAATGTTCAGTCCATATGTAGCCGTGGGTAGGATGAATGTTTTGAACATCACCAGTCGGTTGCGGGGGTGTCGCCAGCTGAAGCCATGGAAGCCATAAGCGCGGAAAGAGGCGATACCCAGTGACAATGCTGCAACCAGGGATTCCATATGTCTAGCGAGGTTGATTCCTGGTACTCCGTGAGAGAGTGGGAACCCCAGGTATTTGGAGTGTTTCGGTTCGGCATGTGTGGGCGCCAGTTTCAGGGGGAGGTAACGTGTGTTCCAAGATGCGTCTGCAAGCGTCGGCGTGATAAGCTCACCATTTATACGGAGGGTTGGCGCCGCGTGTCGCAAGTCGGTAGATCGTACTCGCGGTTTAATGACACCCTGTTCGAGGCCAGATTTGCGTCCCCACGCATCAATGTCATCTAAGAAGGGCTGGAGCGAAACCGATCGAGGGGCTTGGATCCGTGTGTCATCGACAAATAAATAAGAGCGGAGGAGCTTGGGCCGAAATTGTGCTAGCGTGACAGCTAAGGAATGCATGTAGATAATAAAGATCTGGGGGCCGACGATTGAGCCTTGTAGGATGCCATTCGTTCTAAGGAATAGAGACGAGAGCATGCCGCGGTATGTCACTCGGGTAGAGACCCTCCCAAACAGCGCGCGGAGGCAGTTGATCCAGTTTTTGGGCATTCCAGCGTGACGCAGAAGTACCCATAGGCGTGGGAGAGCGACCTTGTCGTATGCCTTGGTTTTGTCCAGACAGACATCGTTCCACTCCTCTTCTGACTGTGTCTCAGATTCCATGGCGGCAAGTGCTTGGGTATGACAGGAGTACCGTGATTTGAAGCCAGTTTGGGTAACATGGGTAGCAGAGCCGGGGTGGCTCGTAATCAGATTAAGAAAGCATTTTTCAAAGATGCGTCTCTGACTATTTGCGTAAGCGTGATGGGGCGGAAGTCGGCGGGGAAGGTGATATCTGCATCGGCTTTCTTTGGGTGCGCTGTCAGGAGGCTGCAGTTCAGGGCTGCGGGGAAGGTACCCGCCTTTAGTAGCTCAGGGAATGCTTCGGCAAGGAGTCTAATCAATGGGCTATTGGTGTCGGGGCGTCCTGATGTCCGTGGTTTGGTAGAGCGCTCCACTGCGGCCTTCAGGAGGAGGATGTGGATCCCGTCGGGGCCAGGTCCCTTATTAGGATAACGTAGTATTGCCTCTATTACATCGTCGGGGCGTATGGTGGAAGTGACATCAGGAGAGGGTTCGGTATCCGGTGGAACCACGTACGGGTTTGTAGAGTTGAATGTGTATCGGTAGTCTATGATACGCTGCTGATATATTGCGTGTGGTATAGTACTTCCTGCTCGTTAATCACTGGTCTCGTGGAATCAGTGCGTTGACCGCTCGCATGTCCAGACATACCCGTACCTTCTTCACATTACCCTCACTATCAAACGTTGGAACTGCGAGTAAGGGAAGCTTAACCGTCGTGGGAGTGGTCCGCTTCGTAATCACTAGGTCCTTCAACCACTTCTGTACTTGTTCATCGACATACTGTAACCATCGCTCGAATACAAAGTTGCGTGTCGATCGTCTCATGCACCTAGCCTGCTCGCGTATCACCGGTATTGTCACCTCACTCCCCTCTATGCGGCAACGTGAATTGTCTGCAATGTCGGCGTTCGTTTCCAACACTGCGGCCAGCCTTGTCCGTACGCCGTCGGGTTCGATGGTACTGGGGGCTTGGCGCCGAGCCATGGGTGTAAAGAGTTCATCTAGTTCCGTTGAATCGATAGGTGCGAGTGGTGACTGAATTCCGCCAATATATAACCCAAGGTCCGTCATCATGTCCAGCCCGAGTATAATGTCTGTAGTCAGGAAGTCCCTGATAGGGTTTATTTAGGATTAGGGTTTATTTGATATTTGGGTTTTATTAGAGACTACATTTTGAACTGGGTTTATCCAATCAGGTTAAAACTGATAAACGGAAAACACACGACCAAATTGATAGTCACAGGATTTACTTCAATAAATGAACAGCGTCTCCTCTTGTACGAGGAGAGTACGTTGAGATACAGTTATCCTCGACTACTTACTACATTTTTAACTGACTTAGATGTTGTACATTAATTGAGCTTACCCTAGAAGATAATAGGACCGAGAGGTCCACAGATAGAAGTAGAAAAAAATTATGACACAAAGAAGTGAGAAAGGTCTAGGCATCAGTAGACATCAGCAACTGAAATGACGATTTCCAACACGACCCAACCATTGTTAAATGACACGGATAGTGGATTTATTAGTAGCGATACAAGCGATAATATGCCAGCACTTCTACCAAACAGCAGTAGTGCTTACGTAAGAATACAGGGGCAGGCGAACCGTGTGGGTCAACACAACCGTATAATACAATATCATGTACATCGACAGGTAGACAGGTTAGATGAGAGAGGAAGACGACTAGAGGACATAGAAGTTAACAGTCAGGAGACCCTAAGGACGTCAACGATAGATATTACAACAGATAATCGCAACAGAGAAAATGTTGTGCGGGAACAAAAGAACAGGACTCCGACGACCACATTGACATGGACTTTGCGGACCATGCTGCAACAAGAGGAGCGCACGGAGCCATGGGCATCGATATCGGAACGAGAGTCGACTCAAATCAAGAAGGATATCCAGCAGAATAAGGAGGGGTCGGACGAACTGTAGACGGTATCAGAAGGTCAGGGAGAACAAAAAGAAGTCAGGTAGGTGTGTATAGTTAGCATCGCCATGGCAACGAGCACGAAGTACACGTGAGTACAGGCATCCAAAAGGTACGTAAGAAATTGGGTACAGGAATAAGAGAGAGTGGAATGATATGGGATAGATACTCAAGTAACCAGGTGTAAGCTAAATAAGTTATTAGTAGGAGACATAGGTTTGCAAAGAAAGTACATGCGCACGTACACACTAAAGTAAGATGCACATGCAATGACAGTCATACAGCAAGTTCGGGTACATAAGATAACAGTTACAAACACAATAGGAGTGACACGACGCTACATAGAACGATAGGGTGTGTGTACACAGTACTAAATTGAGTACACGAGGGAGTGGGTATTGTAAATGTGCATATGAATGGTCCGCCAAATTCGTCGATTTCAATGTGAATATTAATATATCGTATGAGTTACAGTAGACAAGTATGGTGTGAGAACGAGCAGTACCAAGACACAGCGACGACGAGAATAGGCAGCAAGTTAGCCAACTAACTAGGGTCAGAGCCGAAGTGAAATGAGTGAATGTCAGTAGCAAAGAGACATGTGGACGGAACGATAGAGCAAGAACATGAGGAGTAAAGAACACACAAAACGAGTAATGGCATGGGTTTCGAGAGTACGGAGTCGGTCGGAAGGAGTAAAGAACAACCGCAAGGATAACCGGAGTAGTTTGGAGCACGAGGTTCAAGAGTGGACGATGTCAGTGCAACAAGACCCAGGCAGGGGTACAAGAACATGTTGATGGGAGAATGGTTAATGGGACTTCGAGTAATTAGTAGGCGGGAGATTCACAGTCGAATGCCTATTAAGTCAGAAGGAAAAGAAGTTGAAACATCACATTGCTATCAATAGACAACCAGAAGTTTATTTCAACAATGGCTAACATTCGACAAAGTCGTCGGCAGCAACAGCTATCCCCAGAACAACGTGAACAGGATGACGTCCATCAACGAGGTTTCCGACGACGTACTCAGGATCGAGTAGATACGGGTGGAGAAGTGTCGGAGGACTTAGAGTCTTACGGTTCTGGAATCGCGCCGCAGTGCGCTGCTGTGCGTCCTGAATGTCGGGACTCGACAACTGTAGAAGCTCGTGAGTCTTCATTAACTGCCATTTGGGATGCAACTGTAGAGTGCGTTCATACGTACGGCCGTTGAGAGCTTTCTCTAACAGTTGAACAATGCAATGGGTTAATACATTCTGTTGGAAATCTGCATCCGTCTGGCACCGTTCACGTGCCCTCCTGTGATTCTCCATGAGCTGTGTCATTTGTTTCATGATGGGGGTATGTATGTTTCGACTGTGGACCTTGGCAAGCTTACGAAACGCGGGATCAACAATGGCTTGTGTGAGCAAATATGTTCGATTTGTAGTTGTGGCGTCCACATCTTCAATTGTTCAGAATTGTCACGTATGTTATCCAATGTTGACTTATCAGCCTTAAAGTAAGATAATACCTTATGGAACCATGTAAGGCTCCAACTCTCATCTAACCCTGCGATCTGCGCGTTCTTAAAAGCCTCCAGTAGAGCCCCTCTCATATCCCGTTTCATGCTGTCATGGAGGTGGTATCTATTCGAGGGCCAGTCGGGCCATGTACGTGGTGATGGTACCGGACGCTTTTCCACTGGACGGGACTCTAGCGTGGCTCGAAGTGTTTCAATCGCACCCCTAAGGGCTTCAGCTCGAGCCGTATTATTCTCCTCTATTGCTTGGATAGCTCGTCGCTCAGGTGTAGTATTCGTGCATGTAACCTCTGTCGACTCTTCTCAATACTCGCCGGTGTGGGTGGAGGTGTGAGCGACGTTGTCTCCGTTCGCTTGGGAGTCTGTATATGCTCACTGACGGCTTTTGTTGGCGATAGATCGTGCTAATCTGGTCTTGCCTATTCTTGAGCGCTTCCTTCCCATGTGGGTTTTGCTTGGCCAACTCTTGCTCACGTGCGAATTCTTGGAATGACGGAGCCTCCTCTAGAGACGACAAGGTATCTTCCTCCTCGGA